AACTCCTGGCCGCTCTGGCGTTGGCGACAACGGCGGCACACGGAGAAGCTACCCTGGCCCAGCGCGGGCTCCCGCAGGTCCAGCTCGTACTGCTGGAAGAAGGGCGAGTCCTGGAGGTAAAGGGAGCGCGTTAGGGAGCCCACCTCAGAGAGGCTGAGGACCAGCATCCCCCCCCAACCTGGTCCAGACTACCTGCATCATGGCGCTCCTGGCAACGGCGGCACGGCCTGGCCGGTCTCCAGCACCTGGTGCTTCCAACACATCAGTCATCACAGCGTTGTTGCAGTCAAACAGGATGGATGGGGCCACGAAGGAGTATCCCTGCCAGGCAGAGGAAAGGGGCCTGGGTGGGTGGCTACTGTGTGCAGGCGGGACGTCCTGGTCACACAGTTGGTGTGGGCACGTTTGTTTTGTAAGTACTTGGGTCCATGTCTGTTCCCCACCATCTGTCCTTCCACCTTTGTCCTCATAGTGTCCCACAAGGTCCATGGCAGTGCCTGGCCCAGCACAGAAGCCCAGAAGGTGAGGCCTGGATGCATCTGAGTACCAAGGCCAGACATCACACCTGCCTGGTTCATGAGAATCCAACTCTGTGCACAAGAAAACGTCTATGCCTCCCTTCAAACCAGACTCTGCCCTCCTCTCAAGGAGAGAACCCAAAGTTAACTCTATGCCCTTCTTAGGGATCCATGACCTGGCAACTTAAGGGCTTTTCAAGGGTAATTTGAACCATGTGTTTGTCATCTTCTGAAAAATGCAGCCCACTGTGCCCTAGGCTGTGAGGTCCACGCAGGTGGCATTTTTGTTTGGTTGGTTCATTGGTACGTCCCCACTGACCAGATCACAGCCAGGCATACTGCAGTGCTCAATATACCATCTTGAATCATTGAGTGAATGAATGAAAGTGACCGCTGGTTCACTAGCAAGAACTTTCTCCTCAAGGAAACAGTTAGCCCAAATGACGAATAGACCATGTGAAGCACAGCCTCCATGACCCTGAGACCAGGACTAGATGGTGCCCTGCTACCACCACCCACTGCTCTGATCAGGATCATAACAGAAGGTTCTGGCCAGGGAGGGAGAAAAAAAAGAAAAATAGAACGAAACTCAAAAGCATAAAAAAGACCAGGCTTACTGGGCTGACAGACACTGGTAGAACCCCCAGGCTGTGGGCCTTAGACACTCTTTAGGCCTGGAACTGAATCCACTCTGGGAGATCAACTTTCTGACAAACGACAGACATGCCTATAAAGTGAACAGGAGCTCTGCCGGGGTAGTGCCTAAGGCATTTGACTGCTAACCAGAAGGCTGGCGGTTTGAACCCACCAGCCACTCCTCAGAAAGAAGGTTGGGCAATCTACTTCTGTAGTGATACCGCCTCCAAAACCCACGGAGGGGTTGCTGAGTCAGGACCGACTCGACGGCAGTGAGTTTGGTTTTATTGGTATAAAGGGAACAGTAACACCAAGGAAGAAAGGACCCAGGACAGTCAAGCACACGAGACCAAAAAGATAGCATTTGCCTAAAAACAAAGCTCAGAAGGCAGGAAAGAAGGACAAATGGGAACAGGCAACCCAGGGAAGCCCTGGGAAAAGTGCAGTTACGTTGAGGGGACCGCTACCTACGTCATGAAACAAAGTGTGTATAAATTGTTGAACAGAAAACTAGTATGCTCTGTAAACTTTCACCCAAATGACAATAAAAAGAAAAAAAAGAAAAATTTTCTGCTTAGGATTGTGATGATGGAACAAGGGGTACCCAGAGAGTTGTCACCTCTGAGAGTACATGGAGGGGACAGATCCATCCACACTGGATACTGGTCTATTCTTATTTAGTATTTCTGGAGCCCTACATTGGCCATGAGGACAGAGACATTAAAGTCACAGTATCTATTCTGGACCAGGGGACACGTCTCAGTCAGGCTGTCAGGGTTTGCGATGATGAATGATTGGAAGAGTTGTCAGAAGAAGGGACCACCCAGTGGGCCTGGGGAGCAGGGAGGCTTCCCACAGTGAGATCCTGAAAGATGGGTGGGAGCCTGCCAGCTGGACAGCTATGGAGAGGACACTCCAAGCGGAGGGAACAGCATGTGCAAAGGCCCAGAGGGCTGCTCCGGCACCTCGGGCAGTTCGGTGCTGCTGGGAGCATTAAGTGGGACACTTCGGAGCCCTGAGGCTAGAGCCCTGAGCAAGGACCACACCGTGCAGGGCCTCAGCCACTGAGCAAAGGCCTGGGCTTCTAGAACTGGGTGGAGGAAATGTGAGGAGGTGGACAGGCTTACAAACACACGGTATAAACATGGTGCCTCTTCCTACACGTCTACTGGGGAAAAAAAAAAAACCAAACACTGCCATCAAGTCAATTCCGACTCATACAACTCTTTAGGGAAAAGCAGAACTGCCCCACAGGGTTTCCAAGGCTGTCGATCTTTATGGAAGCAGACCGCCTCATCTGTCTCCTGCAGAGCGGCTGTTAGGTTCAAACCACCAACCTTTTAGTTAACAGCCAAATGCTTTAACCACTGTACCACCAGAGCAAAGAGCAAAGGAGCTCATGTAACACGGTATTTCTAAATAACAACAAAGAGATGATGAGTAGGGGGAAATGTCCATAAAGCTAAAGAAAAGCATGCGTTTGAAGCCATTTCCTGCTGTAGCCATCTCTAGGAGTGACTCCAAGCACCATGAGAATGCAGCTGTGTGCTGTCTTTTGGGAATTCTCAGGAGGCAGAGCCCTAGAGACTGAGGAAGACAGAGCAGGCTAGGGTCCCGCTGGCTTGAGTCAGGAGGTCACTCAGCTACGGAGAGTGGAGAGTGACGGGGAAGAAAGGGGCCGTGAGGATTGAGCAGAGCGGGGGCGGGGCTGGGAGAAGGACAACTGCATGGACACTAGAGAGGAAGCACGGGGTGGTGCAGTGATTAAGCACTCAGCTGCTAACTAAAAGGTCAGCACTTTGAACCCACCAGTTGCTCTGTGGAAGAAAAACATGGCAGTCTGCTCCCGTAAAGACTGCAGCCTTGGAAACTCTGGGGCAGTTCCACTCTGTCCTGTTGGGTTGCTGTGAGATGGAGTTGACTAAATGGGAATGGGTTTTTTGAGCAATGAGATCCTGAGTTAAACTTGGGGTACGTGAAGCAGGGAGAGGCCTGGGGGAGATGCTGAGTCCCAGTCAGGACACCAGGCCTGTGCGGTGTCCACAGGTCACCCAGCACCTCCCCTATACCTGGGTTCCTTAAACTCTCACTCACCTGGAAGACGCGAGGGTCCCCAGGTGGGGGGCTGCCAGAGGGCGAGTAGACAGGCTCCAGCCGGGTGAATTCCTCCGCAAAGTTGCCCACATCCAGCTCGGAGCGGATCTGGGGCTGGAATGGGGCCGGAATCTTCCTGGCAGCCAGAGCAGCCCAATCCAGGCCCTAGGAGAGAGGGATCAGATATCGGGGTTAAAGGTCAGGAACTGGACTCAGGCCACCCTCACCTGGCAACTCCTCCAGGAGGCAAAGGCCCATCTGGCGTTTGGGCTGAGCAGCTGTCTTCCTGTCCCCAGCTTCCATTCCCCTCCTTCTGGTAATAGAATCCCTGTTTCCCTTAGAACCACCTCTCCACCATCTCAAGCAATTCTGGGACTTTTAATAGAATTGGTGGGATAAACAAATCTCTCTTCGATTTGGGAGATGTGAGCCTGGAACTGCTGGGAGACCCTAAGGGTCTAGTGATGGAGCCCCATGAAGAAAAGCAGAACTAACAGACAAAGAAAGCGATTCCTAATGACAGTTTGAGCACCTGAATACAGCCTTGCCTGAAGTCAGATTCATCCCTTAGACTTTTCACCTATGGAAGCCAAAACATGCCTTTTCATGTTTAAGTCAGTGTGGCAAAGCCTGTTAATTGCCCTCCAACATCCATTCTCCTTGTCTTCCTTAATACTAGAGCCCCCACTTTTTTTCTATGCAGCAATATATACAACTAAAGGATATCTTATGAACTTCCTTGCAGTGAGGGCTGACCAGTGACTTGTAAGCAAAACTTATAAGGTAGAACTCCAGAGAAAGATCCTCAAGAAGGGGACTGACAGTTAGCAAGTGCCCTTTTTGCCCTTTCCACCCTCGTTCCTCCTGCTTCCTGCCCGGAAAGCAGCCTAGATGGCAGGAGCTCCGGCAGCCATCTTGGACTGTGAGGCAAGCCCAGGGATGGAGCCTACATGCTAAGAATGGAGACCAAAAAACCAAACTCACTGCCATCGAGTCAGCTCCAACTCATAGCGACCCCTCCTGGGGTTTCTGAGGCAGTATCACTACGCAAGTAGATTGTCCAACCTTCCTTCCAAGGAGTGGCTGGTGGGTTTGAAGCACCAGCCTTTTGGTTAGCGGTCAAGTGCCTTAGGCACTGCGCCACCAGAGCTCCCCAGAATGGAGAAGCATAGGGAAAAAGGACCATGGATTCCTGAAAACACCAGGACAGCCCTGGTCTGCCAACCTCCACACTTTATAGAAGAAAAATAGTGATAATAAACTTCTTTTTTGTTCAGGCCACTGTTGATTCCAATTTCTGTTTTGTTACTGTTGTTGTCATTAGATGCTGTCTGTTTCTAGCAGCCAAATTCTATTCCACCAGATCCTACCATTTTGAGTTAGACATGGATGTCAGCATTGCTACCATCAAAGAGTCAGGGGCCGCCCAGAAAGGCGACAGAAAGAGGGGGAACACCCCTTCCCTTCCAGGCCTCAGGTCTCAAAGGCGTTGGGTCCTCTCCTGTGGGCAGATCAGCCTGCTCCTAACACCCGGCACGGCACCTGGCAGGTCCTCACTGAAGGAATATGACACTTAACCCCTTCCCCTCCTTCCCTTGTAAAGAGACATCTTCACCACGGAGACTTAGACTCCCGTCTGAGAAAGCATCTCCCGAGGCCCTTCTGGGTGGTGCTTGCTCGGGCGACTCAAGAAGATGGTGTCTGTAATGCAGGTAAGAGGGGGCCTGGCCCACAATAAAAGCCAGTCCAAACCCACGGCCATCAAGTGAATTCTGACTCATAGCAGCCCTGTGTGTTACAGACATGCCAACCCCACACGTTACAGAGGACAGCTGCTCCCTACGGTCTTCTTGGCTATAATCCTTATACAAGCAGATGGCCAGGTCTTTCTTCTGCAGTGCCACTGAGTGGGTCTGAACTACCAACCTTTGAATTAGTAGTTGCATGCAAACTATCTGTGCCACCCAAGGGCCTAATAAGCAACCATAAAAGGGAGCTTTTGTCACCATAGAAGAAAAGTGGCAAAGCTGAGGCCCACATGCAGACTAAAGAATGCAGCAATTAAGAGCACAGGACTTCAAGCTCCTGGACTTGGGCTTGAATCTGGGCTCTGTCACTTCTTGGCTGGGTGAGCTTGGGCAAATTACTTAACCTCTCTGAACCTAAGCTTCCTTGCCTCTAAGAGTGGCGATGATCAGGATGGTTCTGAGAGTTCCATGAGGTAACACGGGCCAAGGGCTGACACACGGTGGGTGCTCACTGCCACGGGTCCCGCTGGGTGACGGCACAGGCCAGGCCCAGCGTCTGAGGGGTCAGGGTCTCACAGGGAGGCAGAATGCCTTCTGCACTGAACACGTGTGCACTCTTAACAAGTGAGCCAAGACCCACGTGGGCTCCTCTACCAATAGTCCACCTGAATGGCAGGCACTCAGATCACACAAGCACAGAACAAAAGGTGCAAGTGGACGTTAAGAGGAACACCTGTGACTTGGTTACTAAGTTGGGCCCCAGAGGAGATCTGGGTTCTCTGCCCAGCTTGCCACCATTCTCTGGGCCATCCTGGGCAGTCACCTCCCTTCTCTGGGCCTGTCGATTGTCTGGCTGACCTGTTCCCAAGTCCCGGCCAGCCCAGACATGCCGAACCTGGAATTCCTTCCTTCAGCCCCACATGTGTGAAATCTCCACAGGGTGGATGAGAGGGTAAGCCTTGGCTTAGGCACAGTGGCTTGCTTTCTCTGGGGGGGGGCAGGGGGGTGTCTGGATGAAGTAAAACCGGCCACGTTCAGCCTCTCCCTCTGCGTCCTCCAACCCAGAGCAGGAGCCCAGCCCAGGTGTGCACAGCAGGGAGGTGAGGGGCCCAGAGACGGGAGCCTCACCTGGAAGAAGGGGTGGCTCTTAACTTCCTGCGCCCCCTGAGGCCCTGCGCCCAGCCGCTTCTTGGGGTCCTTGCAAAGCAGCCGCCGCAGCAGGTCCTGTGCCACAGGCCCAATCCGGGGAGGGAAGGGGGGGGAGCGCCTCAGGATCCGTCTGGGAGGATTGGGGGGGTGTCAGGGGCAGCGAGCCCACCCCCACAGCCCTGCCCAGGCAGGCCCCTGGCCCTTGGCCACCTCCATGTCCGGCCCTCCTCACCGGGACACCTCAGCCTGCGTGTTCCTCTCACCCTCCAGCGTGAAGGGTGAGGCCCCCGTCAGCAGCTCAAACAGCAGGATACCCAGGCTCCACCAGTCCACGGCCTGCCAGGGCAGAGCCAGGATGAGGGCCGTGAGCCGCCCTGCCTCACCCAGCACCCCTGCACCCCCCGCACCCCCGCCAACCCACCTTGCCGTGGCCCGACTTGCCGCGGATGATCTCGGGGGCCATGTATTCGATAGTGCCACAGAAGGAGAAGGTCCGCTCTTTCTGGGAGAACAGGAGGGCACATTTAGGCAGCCAAGGCCTCTCTTGGGCCCCAGCAGCCCCTCAAGGCTCAGAGTGAGGAGTTGATGGACTTGTGAGTGTGGGGACAGTGGGAGTGTCCTGAACGCAGGGCCTTGGGGTCCATTGCACCCCAGGAAACACAGAGCCAGGTGCAGGGCGGGAAGAGGCGGGAAGGAGAGGCCTGAGTGGGGCTGCAGCCGGCACAGCGGGGCCTGGCTCACCTCTTCCGTCAGGAACTCCTTGCTCAGCCCAAAGTCTGTGAGGACAACGTGGCCTTCAGAGTCCAGCAAAACATTCTCCAGCTTCAGGTCTCGGTAAATAATGCCCAGCTGACAGGGACAAGAGACACGCTGAGCTCCCTCCCCCAGGACCTTCCCCAGCTGCAGGCCTCCAGGGCCCAGCAGCCCACCGGTGTCGGTCCACAGCTGCTGCCAACCAGGTCCCTGCTCGGACAAGGAGGCCCCTGAGCACGGACACCTGCATGCAGAGGGACCCTGGGGACAGGAGCGGGCACAGCATGCGACCATTCCAAGGAACAAAGGCAAGGAAGGGGGACCCCAGGAGGAGGCTCATGGGCTTAACCCCAAGGTCCCAAGGGAGGAAAGCCTGGTGAGGGGCCTCATTTCAAGGAGGCCTTGCGGGTAAGACTTGAGGTCTGCGTTTGAGGAAGTTCTGTGAGAGTGGCGAAGGAGACAGCCCCAAGCTCCCTGTGACAGGAAAGCCCCTTGGCCGAGACTCCAGGGGCAGACGCCCTACCCAGGCCAAGCTGAAGCCTTCTTCCAGAGACCAGTGAGGCAGCTCCAGTCCCCGCTGAACCTACTGCCTAACACCCCGGGAGGACCAGGGAGAGCCCCAAGGTGGCCATGTTTGCAAGGCCCTTCCAAGGCCCAGACCTGTCCCCATGGCAACAGCCGTGTGTGTGTGTGTGTGTGTGTGTGTGTGTGTGTGTGTGGTGGGGCCTCACCTACCTTGTGCAGATGTTCTAGGGCCAACACAATCTCGCCCCCGTACACGCGCACCTCAGCCTCCTTGAAGTGCTGGCGTTGATAAAGGTGGGTGAACATCTCCCCGCCGCTCACATAATCTGGGGGACGGGCTGGGGGTCAGAGAGTGCCCGCTGGGGTGGCCACACCGGCACCCACCCTGGCCCGGGGGGCGTGCAGCTGCCCTTACCCAGGATGAGGTGCAGCTTGGCGTCAGTCTGGAAGGCATAGTGTAGCGTGACCAGGAAGGGCGCCTGGCGCACCAACTCCAGCACGGAGCGCTCGGTGCGCGTGTGCTCCTGTGTCTTGGCGCGCTGCACCAGCGCCGCCTTGCGCAGCACTTTCATGGCATACAGCTTCCCCGCGTCGTGCCCGCCCGCCTTCCGCACCAGGAACACCTTCCCGTAGGCTGTGGAAGCAGCAAGTGGGTGGAGGGTGGGCGGTGAGCGGGAGGGTGGCGCGGACTGGCTGGGGTGGGGCTGATGCCAACCCAGGAGGATGTGCAAATCGAGGGTAGGAGCCGGGGGCGCCAGGCAGGTGTGCAAAGGGCTGGAAGAGGTGTGCAAGGAAAAGATGTGCAACCCCAGGAGGGTGCTCCGCAAAACCAAGGCAGAAATGTGCAACCCCACTGGGGTGCGTGCAACCCCAGGAGGTCCGCAGCATGGGATGGGGGCTGGGCATGTGCGAACTCGCCAGAGGGCTGGCAGACGCGAGAGGGTGCAGTCCAAGGAGGGAGGCAGAGGTGCGGGAGGCTGTGGGAGTCTGCAAAGCGGGGGAGGGGGCTCTACCCAGGGGGGAAGGGAGGAGCTGTGCAGCTCACTGGCGCGGAGGTGCAAGGCTTGGACAGGGCTGGTGAACCGGGCAGGGGGCACGCACATACAGGACCTTGCAGGGAGGAACCAAGTCACCGTGCAACCGGCCCTGGGAGCGGGCATGCAAACCCGGGCAGGGCAGGGCGGGGCAAGCCAGGCAGCTATGCCGGGAAAGGGTGGGGGGCCTTCCAGGTGGCCTGGCCCAGGCCCAGGCGAATTGTGGCCAGGGAGGCCCAGGGCACTGAGCCTGGGACACCTGGTCAGGGGGCCAGGGGTCCTCACCTCCCGTGCCCAGCACCTTGAGCAGCTCGAAGTTGTCCACGCTCACCTTCTCCTCATGCCCGGTCAGGTTGGCTGCGGGCACAGGGGCAGCGCATCAGCCCAGCCGACAGCGACCCTCCCTGCCCCAAGCGGCAGGCCCCCTGCGCTCCCTGCCGCTCCTGCCCTACCTTCTGTGATCCGCAGCTCCACTGCACAGCCCTCGTCCTCCTCTTCGTCTCCCATGGCAGGCGGGTCGCGGGCCCGCTCGGCTCGGGCTCCGGGCGGCGCCGGTTACATGGCGGCTCCGGCCGGGGCGGGCACTTCCTGGTGCCGCCTCCGGACTGAGGCGGGCGCCGCCTCTCGGCTCCCCGCCCTGCGTGGCCTGAGTCAGGCGGCTGGAACGTGACAGCGCCGGGCTGCAGTGGGCGGCTGGTGGGGGGTGGCCCTGTCTCAAGTGGGGGCAGGCGTCAGGGCTGTGTGCTCAGGGTTTAGGGGGACACGCAGCCTTCCCGGGGATCTGGGGCTCCCTCCTTGAGAGCCATGCCTGTGGTCCTAGATAACCTGCAGCCTCTGTTGGGCAAAGCCCTCGAGCCAGGTGTCTGTCCCCCGAGATCTGGTGAAGCACCGTGCAGACACCAGGAGACTGTCTCACGGTGCAGGAAGGACCGCAGCAGGCGTCACAGAGCCTACCCCTCCGAGCATGCAGCCCAGGGCAGCCTGCGTCTGGCTCTGATTTCCTCAGCCAGCAGCGAAAGCCGGGGCTTTCATAAAAACCACAGCTCCCTGGCTCCGTGTGTGACCACTGTGACCTCAGCAAACAGGGGAGGGGCCCTGTGTGCACCCTTGGCGGATGAGCAGCCCCGGAGGTCACACAGACGCCTCATCCAATTCAGCCTCAGCCCAGCCCCTCTCACTCAGTGTAGCCAGCTGCCCTGGGCAGGCAAGAGGGTGTCAGGGTCCTGGAAGCCATCCAGCCCATGGGCACTGGGACCAAACTGGTCCAGTTTCCTGCTTGCACCTCAAGATAGCCAGCCGACACCCCCTCTCTTGTGGACTTGCTTCTGCAGGAGACGTATGTGGGGAGCTTAGGCTACTGTCACTGGGCTCCGGCCACTGGAACCTCTTAGCACCTACAGGGGGCGCCAGAGGGGGGCTGGGGTCTAATCCAGACATAGCAGGGTGCACAAAAGGATTTTTCAACTGGATCTCTTCTCTGGGACTGCAGAAAGCCTCAGCTTCCCCAGCCACCTTGGAAACCTGCCCAGTGCCACACACACTTTACCTGTCTCTGTCCCCCTGTTGTCCCCAAGCCTGAGTACCCAGCCCAGAGCCCACGGTAGACCTCCACAAGGCTGTCAGAGCCACACAGGGGCAGCCTCTCTCCCCATCAGACAGGGAGCCTCTTTAACCTCTCTTCTAGTCCCTGGAGGCAGGCAAGTCCCAGACCTCCCACTCCCTGGCCACTAACAGGGGTCATCAAGCAGGGTGCGACAGCCCTCACAGCCCCCACTCTGAGGCCTTTCTGCTCCTCAGCCCAATTGGGGGCTGTGGAGTCCACCCCATCAGAAAGAACGGCAGAGCTGAGGACTAACTCCAAGGCAGGGGCGATGGAAACCCCGTACACCAGGCTCTGCTGATCACCATGGGGAGAAGAGAAGGCTGCCCTCCCAGCTCTGACCACCCCCAGGCAGCCCACCCTGCCTAAGTGCCCCCCTTTCCAGGCCCTGGCCAGATTCTTGGTCCCTCCCACTCCTTGCGGCCTCCATAGCAACCCTCGGTACTAGGTGGCACCCCACCGGGCTGCTGAGTTCCCTGGGGAAGAGCTCAACCCCAAAGGTGTGGAGATGAGGGGATGAGAAGGGGGGCCAATGTGGAGAGAGAAAAGAGGGCACCCGCGCAGGAAGCAGGGCCTCTGGGGCTTGCCCACCCAAACCCACTACCATCGAGTGGATTTGGACTCTAGCAACTCTATAGAAAAGAACAGAATGCCCCCGAAGAATTGCCAAGGCTCTAAATCTTTATGGAGATAGACTGCCTCATCTTTCGCAAATGGTGAGTTTGAACCACCGACCTTTTGGTTGGCAGCCCAATGCTTTTACCACTGCACCAGCAGAGCTCCTCTGGGGTTTGCAAAGGGGGAGCTGAGGCCTCAGGCCCCACCCACTGCTACAACATTGAAGTCCACTACCCAAAATACACTCCCCACACTGGGGCATTCAGGCTCTGGCAAGCCCGGCTGGCCTCCCCTGACAAACGTCCTCTGCGGGGAGGCCCCCAGCCACAGTCTGCTGGCCCCGCCAGCCAGGAGGACGTGGGGCTGCTGTGTCCCTGGTGCTCTGCAGCCCCTGCATGCAGCCAGAAGACAAGACAGTTCAGGTGGCCGCGTCCTCGCTTTATTCTCATATCCCTCTGGCCCCAGCTCAGAGATTGGCCCTGCTCACATATGCCGGGGGTGGGCCTCGGTTCCCCACCTGGACCCAGTGGGAGGCTCTCTTGTCCGATCCCACCAGCCTCCCTCCACAGGCCGATCCCCCAGAGACCGCCTTCTCGGCAGGGGCTTCATGGCACAGCCAAGGCCCTGGCAAGGGGCTGTTCGTGGGGGCCGGCCATCGCCCCTGCCCACGAGCTCGTCCCAGCTCCACCTCAGGGCCTCTTTGTCCAAGACCTCCCCTCGGGCGCCCCGGCTCCCCGAGCTCCTGGGCTGGCGGGAGCCCCCACCGAGGCTCCAGTGGCGAGAAGGCGAGGCTCCCATGGTCCCTGTCCATGCGGTGTCACTGGCTGAGGGAAGGGGCGAGGGGGCGTTTCTCCGGTTCTTGCACCTCGGAGCCTGGAAGGAAGGCTCAACTCAGGCCCCCTCACTCAGGAGGCGCCCCCAGTCCTCGGGAGCCCTGCCCCAGCCCCCTGACCATCTCCTCCACTCCGGCTGCACCCCGCCCTCCTCACCTGTCCTGAACACACAGGCTTTTGGCTTTGGCTGTCTCCCCTGCCTGGAATGCTGATCTCAGATACGCAGACCTAACAGACTCTCACCTCCAAGTCTTTGCTCCAACTCCACCTCCTCTGGGAGTCCTACCTAAGCCCCTAATTGCAGCAGAAACCTACCTTCCGGGTATGCCTAATCCCCTTCACTCTCCACTTTCTCCCAGAACGTTATCACCTCCTACCACAGGGTCACTATGAGTCAGAAAAGGAGTTCCACTGGCACAGCGGTTAAAACATGTGGCTGCTAACCAGAAAGTTGGCAGTTCAAACCCACGAGCCCCTCCAAGGGAGAAAGATAAGGCAGTCAGCTTCCATAAAGATGACAGCCTTGGAAACCCTGTAGCGCAGTTCCACTCTGTCCTCTTGGGGCGCTGTGAGTCAGAATCCACTCCAAGGCAGTGGGTTTGGTTTGGGCTTTGCTTCCCTTAAGATTGACAGCCTTGGAAACCCTGTGGTGCAGTTCCACTCTGTCCTCTAGGGGCGCTGTGAGTCAGAATCGACTCAATGACAACAGAACGTCAGTTGGGGAATATTCTAGGGAAGAAGCCTGGCCGCACAGTGGCTACATGGTTAAGTGCGCAGCTGCTAAGTGAAAGCTCGGCTGTTTGAACTCACTCAGCAGCTCCTGAGGAGAAGAGACCTGGCAACCTGTTACCATAAAGATTAACCAAACGAAAGCAGAGCCACTGCCATCAAGCCGATTCTGACTCGTAGCGACTGTATCGGGCAGAGCAGAACTGCCCCTTAGGGTTTCCAAGGCTGCCATCTTTATGAGGCAGACCGCCACATCTTTCTCCCAGGGAGCGGCTGGTGGACACAAACCACCAACCTCTCAGGAAGCAGCCAAACCCTTAACCACTGAGCTACCACAGTGCCTTCTCCATAACCAAACTCACAGCCGTCAACTCAGTCCCGACTCACAGCAACCCCTCCTTGGTTTCCGAGGCGGTATCTCTACAGAAGTGGACTGTCCAACCTTCCTTCCGAGGAGTTGCTAGTGGGTTTGAACCCCCAATCATCTGGTTAGCAGTCAAGTGCCTTAGGCACCACGCCACCAGAGCCTCCTACGTGTTGGAACAATATCTTAGGTATACTGAGTTAAAGAAAATACCATTAACATTCATTTCATCTGCCTCGTCTTACTGGTTCTGATGAGGCCACTAGGAAATGTGGAATTACCCAGGGGTTCCATCCTATGTCTATCGGAGGGCTGCTCACTGTCTCCCCTGCCAGAGTGTTCCCTGCTGTGTCCTCAGCCAGCATAGGGCCAGGCACTTAGTAAAAATTCAACTCTTTGTCCCACGAGCAGATGGATGGGGTGAGGACTTTCAGGAGCCCTGGGTGGCGGCAGATAGTCTCACCCCCTCCCCAACCCCCACTCACCCTCTCGGCTGACATCTGCTTCATGTTCCGCCAGGGTCTCGACGGAGCCGTCCCATCCCACACCAGATCCTGGAGAAGAGACACAAGGAGGTAGCCGATGGGCCGCAGGGACTGGGGCAAAGGTGATGGGGCTTGGGGGAAGACACAGGAAGGGAGAGAAGCCCCACCTCCCCCAGGGAGATGGTAGGTCCACAAGGAGGTGGGGGGGCTAGCGGAGACAGGGACACCCCCCCTCGTCCCCAACCTTTGCCATGGAAGCTGGGTGCCCCCACGGGGCCTGGCCGGCGCTGGCGGAATCGCTGCCGGGGGGTGTCCCCGGGGCTGAATGACTCAGAGCTTCTCCCCACCGGGAACCGCGAGCTGAGTTTCCGCCTCTGGGTCTCATCCCGCAGGCACAGGGAGCTCTGGGCCCGTCGCATGGGTGCTGGCGAAGGGAGCCCTGAAAGCACGTGGAGGGGTCTGAGCAGCACAGGCAAGGGCGGGACTAGCAAAGGACCAATGGGAGGCCGCAGGGGCGGAGCCAACAGAGGGCCAAGGAGAGGTCGCAGGGGCGGGGCTTAGCAGGAGGCCAATGGGCAATGCAGGTCGGTTTGCGACAGTGGCGCCATCACCCTCCAGAGGCAGGGCCATGCGCTGGCTCTGACACTAACTTACTGTGATGACCTTGGGCAAGGTGCTCTCCCTCTCTGGGCCTCAGTTTCCTCATTTGCTGACTGGGATAAATGACCTTTCACTAAAGTTCCCTGCTGCTTTGAGGTCCCAGGCACCACTGAAGATGGGGAGGACTGTCTGGGGGTGGGGGCGCATTGCAGTCAGGAGGCAGGCACCCGCCAAGAGGGACCCAGGCAAAGGGCACTGAAAGCACGTGGCAGGCGGCGGTGGGCGGCAGGGTAGGCCAGACAGAAAGGCTCAGCCAGACGCACAGGCAGGCGTGAGGGTGGGGGCGAGAGACCTGGGCTAGGGACCATCCTGGTCACCTTAGCCCCCAGACCCACCTGTCCCGTCTGCCTCCCTGCCCTCGGGGAGCTCCGTCTCCGGGGGGCCCCCCAGGCTCAGGGTGCTGCCAGCCCCATCGGCCCCCAGGCGTGGGCCCCCCTCCCTCCGGGGCCGCATCAGCCTCTTCACCTTGTCTGCCAGCCAGCTGCCCTTCCTGGGGGCAAGAGGGCACAAAGGGGGTAAGGACAGGGAGGAAGCGGGGAGGGAGGGCCATGCTGGGGATAGCTAAGGCCAAGCGAACCCTCACAGGGCCTTCCCTGAGGTGGGGGTGAGAAGACTGGGCTGGGCCAGGCGGGAGGACCCTGGCCCAAAGGGTGGGAGGGGCAGCTCACTTGGTCCGGGGCAGGGGCCCAGGCTCCAGCACACGGTACTGGTCCATGATCTTCTCCACCAGCTTCTGCTTCTCCCGGCGCAGGGCGTTCAGCTGGGCCCTGGTGGGATGGGGAAGGGCAAGGTGGGCATGAGGCTGGGGGCTTACCGGTGTCGCCAAGTACACACTGTTACAACCAGGCTGTCAACACAGTGATACAGTCCCATAGGGGCTGAAAAGCTGGCACCGTCCCCGAGTCCTCAGGTCTTTTCCCAGGACCTCCCAGGGCCCGCTCCGGCACCCAGGAGCTCACAGGTACTCGCACTGCTCGCGGTGCAGGTGGTCCCGGCTCTCTAGACTTCGCTCCAGGAGCCCCCGGTTCTCCCGGCTCAGGGCCTGCACCTCCGCCAGGAGCTGCCGGTTCTCCTCTTCCTGGGCGCTCCGCAGCTGTGTCAGCAGCTGGCAGGGAGCGAGGACAGGTTGGGAGGCATAACCCGACTCAAGGCAGCTGGCTGTGCTCCCCCAGGCTACGCCTCCACCCGCACCCCCCAGCCACCGCCCACTCCCACACACACCTCGCACTGGGTGGTTAGCCGGCAGGCATTCAGGTCCAGCTGCTGGTTCGATTCCCGCAGTCGCTGGCTCTGTGCTTCCAACTGCGCCCGCTCCAGCTCCAGCCGTGCCAGGCGGCCCCGTAGCTCCCCCCGTTCGCCCTGCAGCTCCCCTCGCTCCCGGGACACCTCGGCCAACAGCTGCTGAGCTCTGTGGAGACCAGGAGCTGCTCTCCAAGGGGCCAGAGGAGCCACCCTGAGGAGAGGAGGCAAAGCGGGACCCCACAGGGGCAAGGAGCAGGCCCAAATGCCCACCCGCCCATTGCACAGATGGGAACACTGACGCCTGGCCGGCACCTGTCGTGCTCGCTCTGCAGCCGCCGCAGCTCTTCCTCCAGCCCCCGCTGCCGGTGCCCGTCCTGCATCAGGCGCTCCCGCTCCACCAGCAGGGCCACTTCCTGCGCCTCCAAGTTGGCCCTCTGGGCCTGTAGCTGCTCATGCCTGTGACGAGCAAGGGGCTGAGAGGGTTGCAAGGGCCTTGGGGCAGGACGAGCGGGAGGCTGCACCTCTGGGGCTGGGTCTGCCACCCTCCTGAGCACACGACGCCCCACCAGGCAAAGCCAAAGGTGCGCTTTGCCCCATAAACAAGACCCAGCATGAACCCCCCCTTGGAGTGTGGGGAGTCCAGCAGCAGCTGGGGTGCCTTGTCTCAAAGCAGAGGAGGCTCTGCTGACCGGGGTGTGGCCCTGGTGGGGTGGGACCTGAGAGAGACTCTGGGGGTACCCCCAGGTGAAAAACTTTTCTCACATTACTAATTATTTTTTTTAAAGGATAAAAAGTTATCTGCACTTTTCCCACTGAATTCATACTAACTTAAACTGAACATGAGGAGCCCTGGTGGCACAGTGGTTAAGCGCTTAGCTGCTGTCTGAAAGGTTGGAGGTTCAAAACCACCAGCCACTCTTCAGGAGAAAGATGTCGCAGTCAACTTCCTTAAAGATTAAACCTTTGCCATCGAGTCGATTCTGACCTATAGTGACCCCCACTGGGTTTCCGAAGCAGTAAAATCTTTATAGAAGTAGATTGCCCCGTCTTCCTTCTGCAGAGTGGCTGGTGGGTTCAAACCACCAGCCTTCTGGTTAGTAGTCATATGCCTTAGGCACTGTGTCGACTGCAACCTTGGAAATCCTATGGGGCAGTTCCACTCTGCCCTCTAGGGGTGCTGTGAGTTGGAACGGACTGACAGCAGTGGGTTGGGTTTGGGCTTTCCTTCTATAAAGACTGACAGCCTTGGAAGCCCGATGGGGCAGTTCCAGTCTGTCCTCTAGAGGCGCTGTGAGTTGGAATCAACTCTTAGGCAGTGGGTTTGATGTGGGCTTTGCTGGGTAAAGACTGACAGCCTTGGAAGCCCTGTGGGGCTGTTCCACCCTGTCCCTGAGTGATGCTGTGAGTATCGGAATTGACTTGATGGCCGTGGTTGTTTTGGTTTGGGAGGGTAGAGGGAGGGACCGTGGGAAGGAGTGGTGGTGTGAGGATTCACGGGTAGGGGATGTGCAGCCGGGAAGAGCGGGCAAGCTCCTCTACACCCGGAGAGGGGAGCTGGGTGCTGGCGGCTCACCGGCCCTGCAACTCTCGGTGGGCCAGCTCCAGCGCCCGCATGTTGGCCTTGAGGTCGCGGTGTCGGACCAGCAGCCCCTCCAGCTCGGCCTCCTGCCGCCGCTGCAGCTGGGCCAGGGCCTCGTGGTCCCGCAGCAGGGCCTGCTGCTGCCCACGGGTCTCCTCCTGGGACCGCCGAGCTGCCTGCACCTCCTCCTCCAGCACCCCCAGCCTCCTGTGCAGCTCCTGGCCTTGCTGCTCCAGCACGGCCTTCTCGGCCTGGGACACGAGAGAGGGGCAGGGCCCGCTGGGGTGGGAAGGGACAGGCAGGAGGCGGGGCAGAGGGGGAGCGGAGAGCTGTGGGGGCGGCAGGGGGGGGCCAGGGGAAGGCAGGGGTGCCATGGAGTCTGGTGCTGGCGCCAGGCCACGGAGAGGGAGGCAAGAGGCTAAAGGCAGGGACAGGTTAGATGGGGTGGGGGATCCCGGGTAGGGGGTCGGGGAAAGGCGTGGCCTCATGGCTGGCTGGCGAGGGCTGGAGACGGGGCAAAAAGGGGTGCAGATGTGGGGGCTAGGGTAGGAAGAAGGAAGCAGGGACAGGGAAGGACGTAGGGACAAGGGGAAGGGACAAGTTGAAGTGGACAGGGGCAAGGAGAAGGGGTGCAGGAAAGGGTGGCGGGGTCAGAGGGTAAGAGTCGATGTGACTGGGGGGCTCCTGGCTGGCAGCTGGGGCAGGGAAAATGCACAGTAATAACTCATGAAGGGGCGGAGGCACAGTAACTGAGCAGGGGACGGGGCAGGGCCAGGGAGGGGGCCAGGACGGGGCCCTGGCAGCCAGCCACCCACCTGCAGGCGGCTGCTGCGCTCCTGCGCCTGCTGACTCTGCAGCAGCAGCTCCTGGGCCCGGCTCTGCATGTTCCCCAGCCGCCCTTCCAAATGCTGGAGCTGTCCCCGCAGAGCGTCCTTCTCGGCCGCCAGCGCCGCGTTCTGCCAGGAGGGGAAGGAAGGGTCAGTGGGGGCCAGGCGGCTGGCACACCCCTAAGGCCCACCCCGGCCCACACTCACACTGCGTTCCACCTCAATGAGCCGCTGGCTCTGCGTCTCCCGCGTCAGAGGCACAGCCTGCTCCTCGGGCCTCAGCCCCTCGGGGCTCTGGCGAAGCTGCAAGGAGAGGCCCTGAGAGGTCACGGCGGTGATGCAGGGCCCTAAACCAGCCTCAACCCTCCAACAACATTTGGCACTGCCCTCCCCGCCTCCATCACTCGGCCTTCCCCGGGCTCCCGTGGCCCCAGTCTGGCTCCCGCAGCTCCTGGTGGATTCTAGGGTTGTCAACTTCTCTGTATTCTGCGGATCTTCCTCTGCCCATGTTAGTTCCTCTGCAGGCACTCTGCTCCCATCCTCTTCCTCTGAGCCCCCAGTCTGGACCCCGCTCTCTCCAGCAAACCTTCCCCACACCAGGAGCCCTGCGGGTGCTCCATCAGACCCGCTCAGCCCCACTGCAGCCCCTCTAAGTTCTCGTCACCCACTTTCTTGCCTCTGTCCTCACTAGACTGTGAGTTCCAGGACGACGGCCAGGTCTGGCTCCATCACCACTACCTAAACCCTGGGCCCAGCACACGCAAAAACAAAAACCAAACTCACTGCCGTCACATTGAATCGGACTCATAGTGTCCCCTCCTTGGGTTTCTGAGGCGGTATCACTAGGGCTAAAGCACTTGACTGCTAACCAGAAGGCTGGTGGTTCAAACCCACCGGCCACTCCTCGGAAGGAAGGTTGGGCAATCCTACTTCCGTAGTGATACTGCCTCGGAAACCCAAGGAGGGGTCGCTATGAGTCGGGGCCGACTCGACGGCACATAACAACAACAACAACAACAACAACATCACTAGGGAAGTAGATTGCCCCATCTTCCTTCCAAGGAGTGGCTGGTGGGTTTGAACCGCCAGCCTTCTGGTTAGCAGTCAAGTGGCACTACACCACCGGAGCTCCCCCAGCACACACAGGTGCTCCATGAACATTTCCTGAACCCCAGTGACAATGGCTGAGCCACTGGGAAGCATGGACCCGAGAGAAAGAGGCACAGTGGCACCTTAGAGCAGAGCCCAAAGGGTTCTAGGCGTTTGATGAACTGGGGGTGGTGGAGCAGAAGGTCACACAGCACACAGCCTGAGCTGAGTCAGCCCAGGGGACGGCCTCCTGACTCACAGCACAGTGCCACCTCCAGCTGGTCCCAAATCGGCAAGCAGCTAGCCGAGAATCCAGGGGCAAGGCCAAAAAGGGGGCTCGCAGGGATGGGCACACACGTAGCCCTGGACTCAGCTCACGGGACGGACGGAGTGGACAAGGCTCACCTGTAACAGCTCCTCTTCCAGCTGCTGGGCCTTGGACTTGAGCTCCAACAGCGCCTCCTCCTTGCTGGTGGCTGCCGCCTGCAGCTCCGCTTCCAACCGCTGCTCCAGGCCCCGGTACCTGCCAGGAGCAGCCTTGGTACCAGCCCTCACCGCTTCTCCGCCTGCCCGCCCCTGAGCCCCTGTGCACCCCTGCCTCCTGCTCGGCACTCCTCACCTCTGCTGCTGGCTCTCCTTTTCCTGCAGCCACTCCTGCCTCTCCCGAGCCACCTGTTCCAGCTCCCACTGCAGAGACTCCAGCCGTGCCCCCAGCTCCTGGCCCCGCACCACGGCCTTCTCTAGTTCCTGGGGACAAGCAGAGTAGGCTCAGGGCCAGAAGGGACACCCACCATCCCGGACAGGCATAGACAGAGACTGAGAGTCAGGACATCTTGCTTCCTGTCTTTGCTCTGTCACCTGGGCAAATGCCTTTATCCTTTGGGCATCTGCTTTCCCATCTGTAAAATGGGAGCAAAGCCTGGTGGCCTCACAGAGCGGGTGTGAAACAGCTGGGGGGCTGGCGCAGCGGGGAGACACCCTTCTGGGCAGGTGTCTTCACCTGTCTGAGCCCACGGTTCCTTGTGTGCACAGAGTGACGTGGGGACCCTCTGCGGGCTGAGGCCAGGCCAGCCATGAGGGCATGAGGGCCCCAACGTGGCAGGTCTGGGGAACGCTGTTGGCCACAGGAGGATAGCCACGGAGGGCTGGCAGGCCAGGGATCTGAACTCAGGGATGTCAGGCCTAACTGGGGGTCTGGGAGGACCCGGAGGTGGACTGTGACGGTTGGGCCACACCATCGTGGAAGGGGGTGGGAGGCACGCTCCGGCCTGTGGGCCTGAGAAGGAGGTGGGCCAAACCATTCTGAGCTGGGGTGGGGGAGCTGACAGGATGAAACCACAGGGAAGTACAGACTCTGACCTGCTGCCCACCAAATCCTGCCACTGGAAACCAAGGCCACAAGCCTCTGCTGCTGAAAACAACCATCCTAGTTTCACAACCACCGAGGCCTCGCCCCTGGGCACAGCACCTCCCGACACTCTTCGCCATGGCCTCTTCTGAAAAACTACAAGTCCCATAAGCCACCGCTGCTTCACAGGCAGCACTAGAGCCAGGGATTGAGGCCAGGAAGGTCCAAATGAAGGAGAATGGAACCTGAGCCCAGGCCTCTGCATGGCTTCCTCTAGGCCCTGGCCACAGCCCTTACAGTCGGAGCTCCATGGCTCCAACTGCCTTCTTCTCAGCTCAGAGGTTTCAACATCCACCTCGACCCCTGGCCCCTGGTTCCCCTCACCTCCACCTGGTCAACCACTTCCACCACCTCCTCCTGCACCACACCATGTCTTCACCAGGAAATCCCCCTCTCTGTCCCCATCCTCTCCCACCATCTGAGTCCTCAGGCCTGTCAGCCCTTCCTAGTCTCATCACATTGCCACCTGCCGGCATTTCCTCCCCACCAGCCTGATCCTATCCTCCACGGAATAAGCCTGTACTAGGTGCCAGGGGCTGTCCCAAGCTGCCTACGTTCGTCTGTAATCTTACAGGATCTTGTGAGACAGGTACTGTTTTTATTCTGGTTTTACAAGTTAGGAAACTGAGACTCCAAGAAGTGAAGTAACTGGCCCCAAGCCACACAGCTGATGAGAAGGTCAGCCTGACAGCATTTCCCGATCACACCCTACAGAGCAGACCCCCAAGCCAGCCTCTCGGCCTTATCGCCTCACTGCACCCTGCAATTCTCCAGACCTCCCCGTCCTGCCCTGCCCTATGAACACTGGGTCACCCCAGCAGTGTGTTCCCTCCTCACTCATTTCATTGTCAGTCAGACGAGTCAGTTCCTCACCCTGCAGGGCCCTCTCACCCCCAGAACTGGCCCCACAGACCAACACCTCCTCCACTTCCCCTCATGGGTCTCTCAACACACAGCTCTGACCAGGTCACTGGGTTCAAGCTAGTGGCTGTTCCCTATTTCCCTCATTAAAAAAGTCTCAACTCCTTCCTTAGCCTGGAAGGAAGCTCAGGCCCTGCCCTACAGGAAGTTGCTAAATTTCTCAGCCTCACCTTTTCCACACCCCACCTCACACTTCACAGGATTCAATCCCACCTCTACAGACTCATGCCGGCCTCCTTCTGGTAAAGAAAGCCACCTCCTCCAGGAAGCCTTCCCTGACACATCACAGCTGAGTTAAGCTTCCTGGGCTCCCAGCACTGTTTCATCTCCACCCTGGAATTGTCAGTGCCTCCCCAAGAATGGGGAACCTGGCACCAAGGAGATGCCCTAAATACGTCTGAATGATTGGATAAAGGTGTTTCCTGTCTCTCCCTCCCCCCATCCCCTATCCCGCCCCACCAGCCTCACCTGCCACCTGGACCACTGCCATTGCTTCCTGATGGCCCACACCGGTCTGCCACACCCTTTGATGCCTTTCTGTGCTGGGGATGGAGTCCTAACACCCCCAGAGCTGGCCCAACTTGCCTCTCCAGCCGCCAGCCCTGACTCCTCTCAGCCCATGAGCGTCTTTAACACCTTCAAGTGTTGCTCTCAAGTTGTTGGACATGCTGCTCTCTCTGGCTGAAACGCCTGCCCCCACCCATCCTCCCTGGATCCACAATGGACGCCCGTGGACGCAGCAGTCAAGAAATCAAACGATATAGTACATTGGGCAAAAGACCTCTTGAAAGTGTTTAAGAGCAAAGATGTCACTTTGAAGAGTAAGGTGAGCCTAACCTAAGCCATAGTATTTTCAATAGCCTCATATGCACGTGAGAGCTGGACAGTGAATAAAAAAGACCACAGAAGAATTGACGTATTTGAATTGTGGTGCTGGCGAAGAACATGGAATGTACCATGGACCACTAGAAGAACAAACAAATCTGTCCTGGAGGAATTGCAGCCGGAATACTCTTTTGAAGCAGGAATGGCCAGACTTCATCTCTCCTACTACGCTCATGCTGTCAGAAGGGACCATTCCCTGGAGAAGGATATCATACTTGGTAAAGTGGAGGATCAGCAAAGAAGAAGACCCTCAATGAGATGGAGTGACACAGGGCTACAACAATGGGTTCAAATATAGCAATGATTGTAAGGATGGGGCAGGACCAGATAGTGTTTCATTCCGTTGTACAAAGGAGCACTATGAGTTGGAGCTGACTCAATGGCACCCAACCACCACCACCATCACCACCACCCCACCATGCCGTGAAATCCCATCACCCTCAACACCTCCTGGAAGCCTCCCTGCCCAACCTGGCCTTCAGCTCCCTCTATGAGCCCCTGTAGCACTTTGCTCTTAAAAACCAAGGCAGGGTTGAATTATCCACTAAGCAAGGTAAGCACGGGCTTACTTGTGCTTACTTACTAATCTGAACAATTTCACATTTTTACCACATCAAAGATTCTGCTTCTAGGCACGGCTGGCATCTCTCTCCCAACCCCACAGCACCTTCCTACAGAATCAAATTTACAATCCCTGACAGGGACGGAGCACCCAGTAAGCACAAGTAAGCCCATGCTTATCTTGCTTATTGGGTACTCGGCCCCTGAACCAATGTTTCCTGAGCACTCACAGCAGGCCTTTGCAGCGCGCTTGCCTTCCCTGGTCTTCCAAAAGACCCACTGAGGCACCAGTGAAGAGCACTTCTCTAAAGGAGGAACTAGGGTAGGGGTTACCGCCCATGGTCACAGCCAAGTGGTCCACACTCTTATTCCCTCCAAGCAACCCCACCGAATGTGGCATCAAGGACAGAGGACACCCACTATGTGACCCAGGCCAGACACACACTTGGAGGGCAGGGGTGGCTTGGACCCTGAGCCCAGCACAGTGCTGGGCATTTAAGTGACTGCTGGTGAAATTAATAAAAAGAGCTCCGGTGGTGTAGTGGATAAAGCATTTGGTTGCTAATTAGAAAGTCAGTGGTTCAAACCCACCTCGAGAGAAAGATAAAGCAACCTACTTCTGTAAAGATTGACAGCCTCGGAAACCCAATGGGGGTGCAATGAATCAGAATCGACTCAGTGGAAGTGGTTTTTTGAGTTTGGTGGAATTAATAACCCCAAACTCTAATAACCCCAAACTTGACCCTGCCTGCTGACTCCAGCCTGGAGCCTGCTTGCCGATTCTGGTGGCCCTGAGCCCCGACGACATACCTCTCTAAGGGCCTGCTTCTCCCGCCGGTCCCTCTCTGCCTCCTCCAGCTGTCGGTGACCTTCGCCCTCCAGTGCCCGCAGCCGTTCCTCAGCCGCTTCGGCCCGGGCCCGCAGCCTGGGCCCCTCGCGCTCCCACTGCCGCCGCTCTCGGCCCGCTGCTGCCAGAGCCTCGGCCAGGGCCTCCCGCTCCCTCGCCGCAGCGTCCAGCTCCCGGCCGGCCGCCTCCACAGCCTCACGCAGCCGGGCCTGCTCCAGGGCCTGGGCCACCGCCTCCTGGTGGGCCTCAGCTTCTGACTTGCGTGCCTGAGCCAGCTCCTCCGAGAGACGGGCAGCCTCCGTGTCTTGAGCCTCCAGCCTTCGGGCCTGGGCCTCCAGCTCAGCTTGGAGAGCCTCAGCCTCTTTCCTCAGCTGGGCCACCTCCTCCCTCAGAGTCCCCTGCTCTGGGACACCACTGGTCAGGAGCTCCCTGGGCATCGAGCCCTCCCAGGCCAGGGCCTCAGGAGCCCCTTCTGACCTGTGCTGTGGTTTTTGCTGGGTTGGTTCCCCTACCAGCCCTTCCAGCATCTGTTCACGGTCCCTGGCCTCTGTCTGCGCATTGGGCGGGGCCAATCCCTGGCCTGATGTCCCCTGCTCCCCCAACTGCACACTGAGGTCCAGTGGTCCTGGCTTGAGCTCGGGGCTCTCCAGTCCCAGCTCCTGGGTCTCAGACACCGACTGCCCTGTGGGAACCTCTCTCTCCCCAGTCTCTCCTCCCAGCAACAAACGGGCCTGAATTTTGATGTCTGGATTCTGGGATGGAGCCAGAACAGAGACAGGGGTCTGGAGAGGGTCTCCATGACCCTCCTTCTCCAGGGACTCTTTTGTCTCCACAGGAGGCCCAGGCTCTTGAGGGCTCGAGTCTGAGGTCTGGGGGGCCCTGGCTGCTTCCTGGAGTGGCCTCTCTGTTGCCTGTGTGTCTAACTCAGATGCCTGGGGACAGTCATCTGACCCCTGAAGCACTGAGTCTGATGTCCAGGGAGTTAGGTCCAAAGCCTGGGGGCCTTTCTCCCTCGCCTGGGGTACCAGGCCCTGGGCACCCACGGCGGCAGCCAGGAGTGGCAGGGGAGCTGCAGCCGGCTCCCGATCTGTGGAGTCCTCGCTCTGCTCCTCCAGCAGGGGGGGCTGAGGACACACAAGAGGGACAGATAGGCCCAGAGAAGGAGGTCAAGGGGGGACCTGCTAGAATGGAGGGGAGGGGGGCTCACCTGTCGCCCTGTGTGCCCCTGCAGCACCTGAAGCAGCTGTCGAAGTTCCTGATTCTCCACCTCAAGGGTCCTCAGCCGCCCAACTTCGGCCTCCCTCACCTCGTCATGCAGTGAGGGGGCCGCTCCTGGCAGGGGTGCTGCGGGGACCAGACATGAGAACAAGGTCAGGACCCCTCCCTATCCTTAGCTCCTTCACACACCCTGGATCCTCACATACACCCCGCCTGCCCCCCAGAGACCTAGGAAGGGGGTGACGTCAGAAGCCCTCCACCAGAGAAGCAGGAAACCCAGGCAGACCCCACCCCGGCGCTTCTGCAGGGCCCCTCACCCTCCCCAGGTGAGCTCAGGGGCGGGTCCAGGCTGCGCCCAAGCTCCAGCTCCAGCGCCACATTCTCCTCCGACAGCTGGTCCAGCTGATGCCGAAGAGAGTCCACTTCCTGGGAGGAGAGCAGAGTCAGCCAGCCCTCCCTGTGTAGGCCTGAGGGTCCCTAGATGGCACCAGGGCTAGACGTCATGGAGACCCCTAAAGTCCCCAGGGGTCACGGGTCACTCAGCTGGGGTCATCCGGCGACCTCACCGCATGGGCCTCGCCCAGCCGGGTCCGCAGCAGCAGGTTCTCGCGCTGGCTCTCGTGCAACCGAGCACTGCGTTCGCGGGCAGCTTCCAGCTGCCCCTCCAGCAGCGCCTTGGAGGCCTCCAGAGTCCGTGAGAGTGCGCGTTCCTCCTGCAGGGTAAACAGAGCGAGCCGAGGTGTGATGCGGCCCCCGCGGCTCCAGGGCCGGGGGTCTCAAACCACTTCCATTGAACCTCTGCTCCTTCTGACCCCATCCCTGTCTCTCTGTAGGCCCCACCTCTCCCTCCTCCTCCCCCTTTCGGCTTTCTCTCCCCTCCCCCACGTCCCAGGCACCTAGCCCCGCCCTGTTCTTCTGCAGGCCACGCCCCTTCGCCTCTGGAACCACTTTCCAAGGCAGTGCCTCTCCAACAGTCCCTACTCGGGGTTTTCCCTCCTGACAACGCCTCCCCTGCCCTGGGCCCCACCCTCCTCTCTCCCCCATCCTCCTGAGGGCCTTTTCCTAAACACCAGCTCATTTGTCCTCACCCATTTCTTCTACCGGCGCCTGTCCTCTCTTCTCTTAACTCAATCTCTCTTCTCCTCAAGACTCACCCCCTCCCCTGCTGGCCCCGCCTCCTTGCCACACCCCTCTCCCATCAGACCCCGCCCCCAGCATCTGGTCCCGCCCCCTCACCTCCAGCTGGCCCTTGCACGCCTCGGCAGCCTGCAGCCGCTCCCGGCAGCGCCGTAGCTCCTCCTGCAGGCGGGGCAGGCGGCCGGCCCGCTCGCGCAGCGCCTCGGCCTCCTCGCGGTACAGCTCTGCCCGTTTGGCCTGCCTCGACAGCGCCTGGGCCTGGACAGACGGTGCGGGGCTGGGAATGGCCGGCTGCGCTCAGAGGACGTAGGGTCGCGAAGGAGAGGATTGTTGCGGGCAGTGGTAATGGGATGGGGTAGGGGTGGGGTGGAGAGAGGCAATGGCGGGGAGTGGTGAGGCGCACCTCCTGGCGCAGCCTTCGAATTTCGGCCTCCAAGCCCTGCATCTCCGCCTGAGAGTCCAGTAGCAACTCAGCCTTTTCCTCCCTGAAGGGAAAGGGAGCCGAAGAGGGTGTGGGGCCCACAAACCTCATTCCTTCCCTGGTCTTAGCCTGCCCTCCCCGGGTCCCCCCTTCCCCCGCCCGCGAGCACTCACAGCTCCTGCCGCAGGCGCCGCAGTTGAGCCTTAGCATTGGCCAGCTGCAGGGCCAGGTGGTGCAAGGGGCCCTCCGGGGGAGGCTGGGTCGGAGCCTCAGGTGGGAGAGGGGCCTGTTGCCTCTCCAGCAGCAGTTCAGCCAGGCGCTGTGCAAGTTCAAGGGTAGAGATCAGGAGAGACCTGTTTCATAGCCCCCCAGTTCTGCCACCAGCCACCGCAAGATCAACCTGGCTGCCACAGCCCACACCTGGGCCCCAAGCCCAACCCTCCTCCTGTTCCTCCAGCCCAGGAGTGGAGGAGGTCAAGCCCCTCCATGCCTCCGCCACCACCTACCTGGGCCCCCAAGTCCCGCTCCCGTGCCAGCCTCGAGAGTGTCCCCATCAGGTTCCAGGACAGCATCTCCAGCTCCGGGGACGCCAGCTCTCCGGGCTCAGGCCCAGCCAACGCTAGCACCACGCCTGCGCCAGGTCGGGTCACCTAGGGACACAGAGAGAAGAGCTCATCCAGAGAAGGCAGAGCTGAGGGTGCAGCCAGTCCCAGGGCCGGCCTTTGTCCTGCCCCGTACCTCCTGGATGGTGACAGCTAGCTCGCTCTGGACCTCCAGGCTGAGGGCCTGGATGTGTCGGATGAACAGTTCCCGGTGCTCACACTGTGAGGACACGGGAGAGGGGCTGGCGCCAGAGTCTCCCATCCCCCAAGGCCCAGCTGGCTGGCCCCCCGGCCTCCCAACCGCCCGCTCACCTGCACCGACGCCCCCAGCATCAGCCGAAGGATACCTTCCAGCTCCTCCATGGCCTCCTCTGCAGGCACAGCCACAGGGTTAAAGGTGGGGGGCAGGGTCAGGGGCCAGAGGGGTGCTAGGGGTGCGAGTACCTGAGAGGGGCTCAAATCCCAGCGTCTGAAGGTCTGGGGGTTGTGACAGGATCAGCAGCTGCAGCTCCTCCTGGGGGTGCAGGGGGTGGGAGCTATTAGGGGCCCTCCCTGAACAGGCTCCCACCTTAGCCTTCCACTGTTGACCCTCACCTGGTAGAAATCCCTCAGACGACCCCACAGGCGGCTCAGGTTCCGGACCCGCCTGGCTGCGGGACCCTCCTGGTCCCCAACCATCCGTGGTCCCTCTCTGGAGCTGGGGGCACTGTGGGTAAGGGGGGAAAGGTGGGCAAAGACTCGCCCCCTCTTAGCCAAGCGCTGCCGCCCTTCATGCTCTTCCCACCCCAGCCTGTCCCGACCCGCCTCCCACCACGCACCCCTGCCACCCCTTACATGATGCCCAGCACCCGAAGGAGCAGGGCCCCATCGCTGAGTCGAAAGAATCTCTTCTCGGGGCTAAGGAGCCCCTCCTCCTCCTCCTGTTCACCCCCGTCCTGATCTTCACCTTGGGGATCCTCTGCCTCCCCGACCAGCCTCGCCAGCCCCAGTGCCTGTGGGGAGCAGACAGGGCTCAGGGGGACCAGGTGGGAGCCTCCCACCAACTGAGTCAATCCTAGGACCCTCTGACTTGCCCCTCAAGGACCCCACCCCACCCCCCTCACCAATTCCCTGAATGCCTGCCCCCAACTCTGGGCCCCTGTCCTGTCACCACAGCCCCCTGGACCTCTCCACGCCCACATTTGAGGCCACCTCACCCCCAGTTCTGCCCCACCCTCGGCGCGCTGACAACAGCCCCTCCCGCTGCTGACTTCCCATCCAGCCCCACGCCCACCTGCCCCCCTCACCCAGGTGGCCAGGCTGCCATTCAGGAAGTCTCTGAGTCTGGGCCCCTCGCCCCCCTCCATGACGGGCTCGGGGTACCGGTCCCGCTGTGGCAGCTACACCTGCCCTGAGAGGAAGAGGAAGTCCCTGGGTGTGGGGGATCCCAGCCTGGCCACAGGCACTATGTGCAGCTTCCTCCTTCCGGAGGCAGGCGGGCCTCTGCACCCCCCCGGAGGCCTGTCTCGGCCCCCACATCCTTACTCCAGCCAGACAAGGCCCATTCCGCTCACCCCAGTCCCTCCCTGTTCACTTGTTGGGGAAAGCCAGGCCCAGACAGAGCTGCTGCTTCTCTGTAGGGCTGGGGACCCATCACGGAAGACAGGTCCAGCGTCTCTCGAGCTCAGTGTGCAAGGAGGGAAGGACTTTCACTCTCAGACCTCGTTTTCTCTTCTGGAAAACCAAGCAGGTGACCTGAACCCTGTATCCTCTAGGGAATCTGGGCCTTGCGTGGTGACTGGGGCAAGGGGAGGGCCACGCCTGCATCTTCAGATGTACCTTTGATGTTGAACATATCTAACACCCCTCCCTGCCCGTGGGGCCCGGTTCAGATACCACCTCCCCAAGAAAGCCTTCTCTGAGCTCCATCTAGAAGTGCGCACCGGCCCCCAGACCCTCCATACTCTTCACCCTCCAGGCTAGGCCTTGATTTCTGTCTGTAAGACAAGCAGCTTGGACTCCATGGGAAGCAGTAGACATCCCCCCCACCCCAGGTGGAGATAAAGAGGCCAGAGGATGACCCAGTTCCCCCACTGCTTCTAATGGCGCCTCGGAGAGATGGGCCCCTTTGATGCACGGTGCTGGGTGCTGGGATGGAATGAAATTCCTATGTCCCTGCCCCCGTGGGATGCACGGTACGCTGGGAAGACAGCTACCAAAACTCACACAGGCTGTGCCGGTGCTGGTGCAGCCGGACCAAGTGCTGTGAGGGTTTAGGGATCACACGGCGTCCGCACGTTTGTGTTGGGAATCTTCACCTGTGGCTGTACTCTCATCTGGGAACCGCGTCATCTCTGTTGTACTAATGGACTGTATCAGTGTAGGGTGTGTCTTCAACCAACCACTTTTTATTTTTAGAATTTTTATTGTGATTTGGGTGAAAGTTTACAGAGCACATTCACTTTCCATACAGCAGCTCATACACATGTTTGTTTCATGACACTGACTGCAGTCACCACAGTGGATCAGCTCTCTTCCCCCTTCCTCCCTGTGGCCTTTGAGACCTTGTGTCCTTCTTTCCTACACAGTCCTGCCCCCTGAGCTGTCTCCCTGTGCACACACTGCCTTTCTGATCTCCCATGATTGATCGCTCCAAGGAGCGTATCCACCTGATGTAAATGTTCACCCTGTATGCTTGTCTGTTGTTTGGCTGGAAGCCACAGGAGTGAGTTCAGTTCTAGACCTGAAGGACAGCTAGGGGCTGTAGTCTCGGGGGTCTTACGGGGCTCTATCAGACCAGTAAACTTCGTCTTTTTTATGATTTTGAGTTTGGTACCACATTGCTCTCCCACCCTATCCGGGATCCCCTGCACTGATCCCTTTCTGGGTGGTTGACAGCAGTAGCCGGGTGCCATCTAGTTCTTCTGGTCTCATGGTCACATAGGCTGAAGATCACATGGTCCACCAGTCCCTTGGAGTAATTGTTTCCATGAGTCTTTGTAAACCAACCACTTTTGAGATACAAAAAGAAGAGATGGGACACAGAGACTAGCAGACACAAGCAGGAAAGACACACGTGTCACAGACAGACAAGGAGCCAAGGAACCCCAGGCCTAGAGAAGCTGAGGTAAGGATTGTCCCCCAGAGCCGACGTCTGTCGGCCTGCCCCAAAGCTAGTGCCCCGAATTCAGACTTCTAGTTCCTAAATTGTGAGGAAATAAAATCATGTTCATTCAAACCAGCCACTTGCGATGTTTCAGTTAGGGCAGCTCTCAGAAACCAAAGCAGAGGGGATTTGACCTTCACGGGCCGGTGGGGAAGGTATCTGGGAGGAGGCGGGCCCGCGGAGCTGAGATGGGGGTGACTGGATACAGAGGCAAAGGGGGGCAGGTGGAGGACAGGACGTTCCAGGCAACAGAAGCAGGACGGGCAGGGACTCGGTGGCAGGTGGAAGCATGGCCAGCCCAAGGTCAGAAATTATTCATGTTTTATCAATTCCAACACACTGTACTTTCACATGCAACCAAGCTCTCCTCAACCAGGTTACATCACACAGCTGTTGTCTGTCTGTAGTCCTGACATAGCTGTCGTTGCCTGCGCATTCCCACACTTCAAAAGTCCCAACATCACACCCGGCAGAAAGGATATCAGCGGCCTGGGAGAAAATCCCAGAGTTCAGAGCGAAGCATTCCTTTCAGCCCGGGATCCAAATGGTGGGAGCCCCCAGGGAGGAGGACCAGTCTGGGCAGCAGCGCTCACGCTGCGTGGTTACAACGCTGCCGAAAGAACCAACGCCAGAGGGTCCTGGTGGCTTTACGGTTGTTTCATGTCTTCAGGAGTACTGCTCTCACAGATATCGGAGCTCTGGTGGCGCTGTGCCTAAGGCACTTGACTGCTAACAGAAGGCTGGTAGTTCAAACCCACCAGCCGCTCTGCAGAAGGAAGGCTGGGCAATCTATTTCCGTAAAGATTTACTGCCTCAGAAACGCAATGGGGTCACTATGAGTCAGAATTGACTCAATGGTAGTGAATTCAGCTTTTTTACTCTCACAAGCAGAACCCCTGGTGGCATAGTGGTTAAAGAGCTTGACTACTAACCCAAAGGTCAGTGGTTCGTAACCCACCAGTCACGCTGGGGAAAGATGTGGCAGTCTGTTTCCATAAAGATGTACAGCTTTGGAAACCCTATGGGACAGTTCAACTCTGTCCTATAGGGTTGCTGTGAATCAGAATGGACTACTCAGCAGTGGGTTTGGTTTGGGGTTTTAGGCTTTCACTAGTACTATGAATAGGAGCTCTGGTAGTGTAGTGGTTAAGACATTTGGCTGCTGACCACAAGGTCAGTGGTTCAAACCACCAACCTACTCAGTGGAAGAAAGATGAGGCAGTCTGCTTCCATAAAGACTCACAGCCTTGGAAACCCGTGGGGGGCGCTGTGAGTGGGAATCGACTCGACAGCAGTGAGTGAGCACCATGGCTCAGGAGGAGGAGACGGGCTCACAGACATCACGACTGTTCGACAAAATTGGATTCTTGGGGTCAGACTTTTTTTTTTTCTTTTTTTTATTGTGATTTGGGTGAAAATTTACAGAGCAAATTCATTTCCATACAGCAGTTCACATATACTTTGTCTCATGACATTGACCACAATTTACCCCAATGCAACAGCTCCCCTCCCACTTCCTCCGGATAGTCACCTCTTCCCTGTGTCCATCCCTCCGTGTACTCCCCCCCCCATCTGTCTCCCTGTGCATACACAGCCCTTCTTTCTCCCATGATTGATCTCTCCAAGGAGTGTATCTACCTCAGGTAAATGTTCAGCTCCTATTGCTGTCTTTTGTTTCGCTGGAAGCCAGAGGTGTGGGTTCAATTCCAGACCTGAAGGGCAGCTAGGGGCTATAGTCTCAGTGGGTCCACCAGGCTCTATCAGACCAGCAAATCTGGTCCCTCTTTTTTTTTTTTTTTTCCCAAATGATTTTGAGTTTAGTTCCACATGGTTCTTCCTCTCTATCCAGGATCTCCTATAGATCTTGGGGTCAGACTCTGAAATGTGAAGAAGTCTTTGGAACACCGCAGCCAGCTTATCCAGCTCACGTCGTCCTTTTCATGTACGCATCACAGTTACATATGATGAAAATCTAGGTCTAAGCCAAGCAGAGTGCTTTCTGGAAGAATAGAATATAAAGCCCAGGGATAAGAGAGCGGTGGGCTCCTTGGCCCGGCAGCATTCTCTTTCCCTTCGTGGTGTCTTTTATGGTCAATGACGTCTTAGAGTTGATGGGCTGTGGGGTAATAAAAATAATGACTCTCATAGCAGCACAGGCTTACAGGAGCCAGGTATAAGTGTAAGGACTTTATAGTTATTAATTTAATGTTTCTCATTTGGCTGCTAACCAAAAGTCAGTAGTTCCAACCACCAGCCTGTCTGTGGAAAAAAGAAAGAAAGATGACGTATAATCTGCTTCTGTAAAGATTTATAGCCTTGGGAACCCAGTGGGTGTTGCTATGAATCAGAATCCACTCGATGGCAGTGAGTGTGGTTTGGTTTGGAGTCTGAGGCCAATCGTTTTGAGAAAAGGACATCGTGTTTGTAAAGCAGAAGGTCAGCGAAAACAAGGGACACCATCCATGAGACGGACTGACACGCTGGCCAACAATGGGCTCCAACCCGTCACAGATCCTGAAGATGATGCTGAAACAGACAATGTTTGCTTCTCTTCTGCGTGGGACGGCGGAGAGTTGGCGCCAACTGGACAGCAACTCACGGAAGCAACAGTCTATGAAATAAGGACTATGGACTAGCTCCATTTTATGGAGGAGAAAACAGGCCCAGAGAGGTTAAGTAACTTGCCAAAGGTCACACAGCTACTAAGTGGTAGAATGCACTGAAAGAAGGCGGTGGGGCCCAAGTGGAAAGAGTAAGGACACGGTGGTCAAGGTGAGCCGGACCAGACCAGGTAATGGGGAAC